ATAGTAGAGGATAGGAAAGGTAGCAGAATACAACAGTCACTAATATGGCAGTAAGTAAAAATGTGGATGTGTAACCGATGTGATTCTGCAATCTGTATTTGGGGTAAAAATGGGAGTTCATAACTCACTTGGTTCTAATTTATGAAATATGATATGTCAAGAGCTTTGTAATGTTGTGAACAACCAATAAAAAAAAGAAAAGGCAAAAAAAATAAGGCAGTTGAAGCTACTTTTAAAAATATATTTCAGTTATTTCATTATATTCAAATGTTGCCATTTCAACACATCATTGATATAAAATTTATTAATGAAATATTTTACATTATTACAGCAAATATTAGAAACCTAATGACATTTTACTTTCATAGCACATCTCAGTTCAAATAGTCCCATTTTAAGAGTTCAGAGCTACCTGTACTTAGGGTACTGTAATGGACAGTGCAGATTGAAGTCTAGAAGAATGAGTGCACACCAGTGATATAGTACATGTTTATTGGATAAATGGATGAATGGATGATAAAAATCTATTCCCAGAAATGACGATTGTCTTCCCCCATGTAGTTAGGATATGCTGTTGCCAAGTTTTACTCTGAAAACATATATGATTTTAGAAGCAATGGATATGTCAAATAATAATAATATATCTCAAATATATTTATTTATTTATTACTCTTTATTTTTGTAACTATTCCAGAATAATGATAGAAAAATATATATAACTATGGTTTTTGTTCACAAAGCATTTATACAACTGTACAAAATCTTTTGGCCAATTAGATGTTGTTTTCATTCATTAAAACTTTTTTTTAATATATAAAATTCAAGTTTCCACATGCTTTCTGCAACAAGATTATTTTAAGTATCTGGTTTTCTTTTGTTTCCTTCTATCCATTTCTGGTTTTGGATTGAGTAGCTACAGATGCTGGCATTTGGCACTATTTATTCACTACAAAATGTCAGGGCAGTAAGAGCTGGATCCCTGAGTGAGCAACAGTAAGACACTTGGATTTACTATGTGTGGTGTGGCTTCAGAATATTTCCTTTTTCCATCATTGTTCTTCACTCACCCAATGTGTTAAATTAAAGGATGAAGGAAGATTTTTTCTTTCTATTTACCACACAGTGAGGATATGTCTATCTAACTTTCTTTCCATTTACACTGTGAATACTTTCAGCTGTAGAACTGATCTCCTCCAGTGAAATCTATTGTGGTATTCACGAAAGCTGTCATTTCCAAGTCAGATCAACTAAATACCCATGAAAACACCAAAGAGTCCAGAGGATTCATGAAAATATATATCTGATAGTCTGTCTATGTCTTTTGTAGTCCCACTTGATATCTTTATAAATCCAGGTTTTAAAAAAAGAAAGGAATTAGAACACTAAAGCACACTTTAAAACAGGAAAGGGATTACATTTTAGCCCCTGCATTGTGATTGACAGAAAAAGAATGCATCCTTCATTCCTTTTTCCCCCACAATTAAATTTCTTGATAGAGATGTAAAAATGTTTTTGATTTAACTCTTGAATATTTTGGCAAGCTTCATAAAGGCCAAATCAATGCTAAATCAGAGGTATTTACAACATCCACAAATTTAATCCAAAGTGGATACTTAAAAGCTCATATAGATCTAAATGATGTTCTCCCAGATGGTGAATTAATGTCATTTTAGCAGGAAGCAAAGTTGCACAAATATGCAGTATTGAGAACTCGTGCTGATTTAATGTATCTGTACCCACCACAGCGCAGATGTTGCTTATCATTTTAGTGCCAGTTGTCTTTATTTTTCTCTATACCACAAAAGGAAGAATGGGATTTGGGAGTTCAGTAAATTATGATTTATCTTGTTACTAATGACTTGTTTGAAATTGAATCTTTCTATGACCTGTATTAAAAAATCATATTGGTTATCTTTGTGTAGGGTTTGAAGGGTGACTTGGGTCCTCGTGGTCCACCTGGTCCAAAAGGAGAAAAGGTATTGTATTACCAAAAATGTGTCAACCTTTTCTTAAGAAAACATCAGAAACCTGTGCAGTGACTTCTTGTTGATACCATTTAATTGTCAAAAACATTTTAAAACTAACCAAAGACATTAAAAGCATATCAACAATAACAAAGCCGTTTGATTCATTTAATTAGTTTGAAGAGACTAAATGTGCAATTGCTAGTTGACTTAACTGGTGTTTATAAGATTTCCCTTTTCTTACCCTTGCTTAACAGCATGCTGTAGTCAATCTTAAATTAGCAAAGGTGTCTTATATTGGGGAACTCAGCCAACAATACTGAGCTGCCACCATAATTGTGAAGCAGGTGGCTTTGGGAATAAAGAATCTAACTTGAAATCTCAGTCTTAGTCTAAATGCTCCATTTCCTGCCACATTTTCCCATATGCTATTTGTTAATGGTCTATTGGCAGTAACCTTGAAAAGAGAATTAAGGAATAGTACAAGCAAGAGTCGTGTTGAATAAGGTCATTAGGCGACCTCAACTTGATGAAAATTGTTAATGTGTATGTTTTGCACTGTATTTTGTTCTCGGCTTTCAGCACATTTAAAAATCCTTATCTATCTTCAATATTTATCTCTGCGTTGAAGGTGATCTTGTAAATTTGTTCTTAGTGACTAACTTAAGCTACAGCAATATCCATTAACAATTATCAATTATTTTAACTCAATTTCCCCCACATACCAAAAAATGAAACACAATTTAGTAAGTCTTGACTTCTAAGTTAGCTAAATTTGGTGAGAAAAAAAAAGAAGTTAAGGCTACTCTCAAAAGGAGAATACAAAATCCTAGTGCCCTTTGCCATACAGGATAGACTTATGAACCCCATAATGTTCAACTAAACAAGAACCATAAGCAAGGATATTCAGTCAGAATGATTGAGAGTTCTTACGAAATAGAGTTCCCGAGACAATAAGCACAGAAGTGACACAGTGGAAAATAGTGAACTTTTAAATTAACCATTTTTTAAAAGATTTTTAATGGTTTATTAACATATACACCTGAAAATTTGTATTCATATAGGTCAGCAAAGCAATTTCATCATTTGAAAATGCATAAATATATGCAGAGCCTCTTAAATATAGGCAGAGCCTCTTACAGTTGATGGCAAGGGCAATGCCAATTCAGCAGAGCTTAGAAGAGGCCGTGGGAACTGTTTCTTGCAGCTGGAGGCATGAAGTGGGGAGATCCACTTATTATTTCTGCTGATCCTTATACTAACTTTGTCAGAAAAATTATCTGTCACTGTGACACTTCCCAGCTGCTCCATTGGCAAGTAACCATATTTGAAAAGATATTTTTTCCTAATTTTGAATTAGTAGTCAAAAGAATAGAAAATTAGATTATTTTAGCTTTTCAAAACAATCTCGGCTGCTGCAAAAAGCATGTGGGTGCATAAGGCAATTTTTATATCATGAGAATTAAAGGACACATAATAAATTTTTCATCGTGCAGAGACTTTTATCAAGATAAATTCAGTTTTTCTGTCCTTCAATATTTACCTACAGGCATTGCTTCCATCCACTCAGAAACTTACAAATAATGTGCAAAAGAGGGATTATTGATAATTTTAACTTTCTTTCATCTATTTTAGGGAGACATGGGGCCTCCAGGACCAACAGCCTTAACTGTAAGTATTCTTGAATTCAAAATTTAAAATTGAAATCTATTACTCTGCTTATTATTTATACCATATCATGGCTAAACTAGAATTTGAATCACAGAGTTTTTTAAAAAATGAGAATGACATTAGAGTACATCTAGCCAAACCTCCACATTTTAAATATGGGATATATTCTCTTAACAGTGAAGTACTTAACCTGAAGTCATACAGGTAGTTACTATAAAAGCCTATAATCAATATCTACCCTGAGCAATTTTTCTATCTTCAAAGAGTTCATAATTGTGTCCCTTAAATGTTTGATTAAGCATTCTTTTTTAAATAAAAATTTTATTAAAAGTAAATGGAAGCAAAGTAGTTCTACTTTGTCTGAAAACTATAAAGGAACAAAGCAAACTATAATTACCCAAACCCTACCTATTTAAGCTGATTGTTATAGTCCACCATGCCTGTCTACTACCATTGTTATTTTCCTACTTGATTTATTCCTAAGTTTCCAAATGGTAAAATGGTGATCAAAAAACCAGATGTGTTTATCATGTGAACATAATGGGATTGTTCTCAATTAAATGACCATCATCATTTATTAAGCATTTAATCATAAATATATAATGGTTTTATATTTAGATACAATTTAATATTATAAATTTTCTTCAGAGGCCAGTGAACAGTCTCATTTAACTTAAAGATAAAGATTCTAAGCTTGGTAGAAAAGAGTTTTATATTTTTATTTTTGTAAGATCATTTGTATCCTTAGGTCTCTTGAATTTTATGTCAATATTACCTAATGACATAAATTAAACATTAAATCATCAGCATTCAAAGGCCTCTCCTGATCATAGAAGAACAGGCTTACAGAAGTCTTTATTTAGTCTGGACAGATTCTCCCTGTCAGCAAAGCACAGTAACTCAAAGGCTTGGTGATTGGGATAACATTTGTATTTTATCTTTGTACTTGAAAATTCCATTATGAACAGTAGGCTAATAATGTCTTATTCCAATAATCTGTGACTTACTTGGGAACAACTAAATTCAATTCACAAGGGTATTCTATAATTTAAGATTTTATTTTCAAGATATGAATAAAACCTATTTTACATGAAGTTTTACCTGCATAATACTCCAAATTTTTTGTACTTTATGGAATTAAAAATATGTATTTGGCAGTGACATAGAGGTAAGGCTGCTCATTTCATTCAAAACACGTGCCTGTTTTCTTCAGCTAAGTTACATGCCCAAACATTTCACTTAGTTGTTTGATTTTCAACTCATGTTTGAAGACCACTATGCAATCTGTGTACCATTTCAACTGAAATTTAATTTTGGCTCCTTGCCCAGAAAATTTCAATGGACTTTATCTACTCAGTGAGTTTTTCATAACAACTGATTTCTTTCTGCCAAGGAACACCTTTATGGATATCTCTTTGTACATTACAGCTGGGATTCACTTAGGGAATACAAGCTATTTTTTATCTTTGTCAAAGATATGACAAGGCAAAAACACTATGAAATTAGTGTTCTACTTCATAAAGTAAAATGTTAATATTGTTTGGGGATTATTATTGTACATCTTTACGGTTACTTCCTTTACTAACATAGATAATTAACTGTTATCATAAAATAGGGATGAACTGAAATTAGTAAAGATATACCATGCACTAAATATTTAGTTGATCTTATAAAACAGCTTAATATAATTGAAGTCAGTAGTAATTGTTTTTAGAAAGCCAAAGTGACTGACTGAACTTAATTTGGATTTAATGAGATGGTGATATGTAGAAGTCAGTAAACTTAGAGTTAATCCATAGTGATTCTCAAAACTGTTGTACACCAAAATCCACAGGAGAGCATTAAAATACACAAATATTGGGGCTCTACCCCCAGAACTTTTAACTCAGTAGATCTAATGGGGAACCACTACGTTTTAAATCTTCCCAGATAGATCTAAAACTGCATCTGGAGTTGAAAACCCTGGTTTGTAGAAACTATAATGGAATAAGTTTTCATCTACCTAGAAAAAAATTTTTAGACCATTGGAGATGTCTAATTTTCTTTTCAAATTTAACTTAATACATAGTAATGAAGAAATATTTCTTTATTACTTTCTTTCCATTAGGGAGGCATCCCAAGAAAACCAATTTAAGATTGAAGCCTGCTTGGTTAAGTAGAGGGGATTAGGGCTAGGAATATGCCTTTAACTACAGCCTTAACTGAGCCATCCACACGTCAGCAGGCTCAGCTGCCTTAATACTTCTTAAAACTTGGGGCTGGACGTGGATGTGTAACCGATGTGATTCTGCAATCTGTATACAGGGTAAAAATGGGAGTTCATAACCCACTTGAATCAAATGTATTAAATATGATATGTCAAGAGCTTTGTAATGTTTTGAACAACCAATAAAAAAAAAAACACCTGGGGCTGGAGTGTAGCTAAGTAGGAGAGCACTTGCCAAGCACATGTGAGGCACTGGGTTTGATCCTCAGCACCACTTAAAAATAAATAAATGAAACAAAGATATTGTGCCCACCTGCAACTGTAAAAAAAAATTAAAAAGTACTTAATGCACATAGGAGCCACTCAGTAGTCTTGTTCAAATGAATATTCTGTAAATCTGGGGTGAGACTTGAAATTCTATATTTTTAGCAAGTTTCTAGGGAATGCAGCTGATGCTGGTCCTTAGATAAGACTTTGAGTCATACTGCCTTGTTTCGTAGATCAGTGGTTCTCCATCTTCCTAGTTATCTTCTTTACTTTATGGTCTTTCCAGATTATTCTAACAACAAAACATTAAGGAATAGGCTCAAGAACAACCTTGTGAATCTGTAAGCAGAATATCTGGAAAGTAGTTTATAAAACAATGTCTAAGATTCTTCCCTAAATACTTTTTTTCTTTTATAAAATGTCCTCTAGAGATATGGCAAGAAGAAATGAAACTCTTTTCAGCTTAGTAGGAAAAAAACAAACAAAGCTATGCTTGCCACCCAAAATACACTTCTATGTATTTCTTGCTAGTCATATTTTCAGCAAACACAGCTGGTTGAAAATACAAAATTTAATCAAATCACTTTGATTTCTTTTCAACCCCTTTTTGGAAGATGCCAAATTTACTAATTAGTTTGGTACTAAATTAACTATTGTATAAACATAGTATGCTACTACAGACACTTACAATAAGTGTCATTTTGAAGTTCTAAAGAAGTAAATATAAAATTTTCCTACCTGATGTAAGTTAATTAACTGATCATCTTTTCCTTATGATTTTTATATATCAAACTGATACCCATTTTAAATTAACAAAACATGTTTTGTTTAATTCTAAGTGGTAGTAGTAATAGACATAGTAATAATAATTCTACTAATAATAACAACAAATGGTACATTTTGTGTGTGTGTGTGTGTGTGTGTGTGTGTGTGTGTTGGTCATTGAACCTAGAGCCTTGTGCATGCTAGGCATGCTCTCCACTACTGAGTAACACCCCTAGTCCAATAGCAAACATTTATTAAGTGTTCCCTATGTGTTATCTAAACAATTCCTTAAGCAACCCTGTGAGGCATAAAATGATTATTACCACATCCCATATAAGTGATCATAGGACCAGAGAATCTATAAGCCTTACCCAAGGTTACAGAGATGGTAAGTGGCATACCCAATATTCAAATGCCTGACTAATGCTAAAACTAAAATTTTTAACTTCTACAGCAAATATTATTTAAAATCAAGGTTAAAAATAATAAATATGAACAAAGTGTCAAATTATTAAAAAAATTAACTTTTTTAAATTCAACTTCCTTTTATCTGGAAACTGATCTTTAGAAATGAAGATCTTAGGCTGAGGTTGTGGCTCAGTGGTAGAGCATTTGCCCCACATGTGTGAGGTACTGGGTTTGATCCTCAGCACCATATAAAAACAAATTTTTAAAAAAAAGATATTTAAAAAAAATTAAGGTCCTGCCATAGGTGGGTGATATGTGAGCGTGTGATGCAGGGTAGCAGGGGATAAAAGCATGCTGGGGCATGCCATCAGGGTAGTATGTCTAGCTCAGAGTATAAAATTCAAATTAAAAACTACTTAAGAGATTATGTAATGCACAATATCCACTATGTATTGGCTATCTAAAATAAACCGTGGTTAGCGACCTGCAATATTTACTTCACATTTTTTAACAAACAAAAATATTATTAAATGCTTGTTCTTTATTTTCATCCTGAAAGAGCTACAATATTGGTTATGATGTTAGTTTTACTACACATTTACCTCAAGATCTATGCAGCTAAAGTAAGATGTATACTCTGCATTTTCCTTTAAACAGTGGTATTCTTTTGTAAATAAATGTTTGCATTGTTTTTCCTTATCATACTGTTTTTGAGCTTTATCCATGATGCTGTAGATGAGGCTCATTCTTTTTAACTGGTCTATAGTCTTCCAACATAGAACCATACCACTAGGCATTTTTATATTGGTAAACATTTGGGTTTCTTCCATTTTTTTCTTTTGCTAACAATGTACAATAAATATATTTGTGCTTGCCTATCATGCACACGAATGAGGTTTTTTTTCCTAAGTTATAAACAAATGAAGTCATTTTTGCAAGAAAGTATATCCTTTTCCAGTTTAGCAAAATGCTACCTGATTACTCTCTCCAAAGTGGCTATGCTAATTATCAGAACTTTTAACAGTTTAAGAGAATTCTCACAGAAATCACATCTCCACAATATTTAACATTCTTAGACATTTTGGTTTTTAATACCCACATAGCCCAGAATCATAAGCATACATGGGCCCTCAAAATATGAAAAAAAAAAAGAAACTTTACAAATTAGTGGAGGATTGAACAGAGTCCTCCAAAAATTATTCTGGGACAGTTGATTTTTCCAAACAGCAGAAAGATACATTCCTTTCTCATAATATTTTTGTTTGCATGTTTGCCTTTATTTACAACCTAACTACAAATATAGAAATAGTTCTAATGGTTTGTCTATATAGCCTCGTATTTACTTTGGATAACC